CCTATATTTTGAAGGTTAAGAATCCAAATATGTAAGAAAAAATATATGTTTATTCAGAGAAAGTACGTTTTTGTGTCTGATTTCGTAACTTAATTAATAGTTAGCACTAATTAATTAGCATATTTGAGGTCACCCCCAGGAACCATTAAGATTAACACTTAGTTCGTGAAAATCCGATCATTAGAACGAAAGTTATTCAGGGTGATATCTTTTTTTTTTTTTTGCAGACTGTACATGCATGCTTTTGTTCCCTATGCATACTCACCGATATATCCCCATTACCTATGATAGGATTCTTAATATATCTGCGGAAAATATTCCTTATGAAATATGTCTATTAGGATACAATTTTTTTAAATACATATGTTACTGCAATGTAGCATTGCCTACAATACATGACATTTTTAGGCTAAATATGTATAAAATATGAGAATAATTATACGCTTTAACCTAATATATATTATTACGACACTCGAATCTTGTATTTAAATATGTGTTTTATTTATACCGATTTTATCGTAAGTTTAAGGGATTTATGGATTTTTTAATTATTTATTTTTGTAATACTTATGGTTATAACTACGCTTTTTCATGTAGTTTTAAAAATGCCGATATTAGTTTCGATTCGCGTATTTAAATTATCACTTCTGACGTGCTTTATTTCTGTCCATTCCGTTGTCAATCCAAATTATTTTTCTATCCTTTTTTTTTTCTTTTTTTTTTTGCAGTTATTACAAATTTTTTTTTCTTCACGTTGCTTGCAAAATCTCGATATTTTTAATACGATATTATTACTACTTCCGAGTTTCGAATGGAACATTTTAATAATCACTTTTGACTTGCCTTATTTGTGCCGATTTCATCATCAATCCAAGTTATTTTCCAATCGTTTTTTTTTTTTTTTGCAGTTATAGCTACTCTTTACCACAAATTCCTGATATTTTTAATACAATATGATATTATAAAACAATATTCGAACGTGTGTTTTTGAACTAATTTTTTATTCCTTAGTGCTTGAGAAAAACCGTTAAAGATTTATTATTCTAAAAATCTTGTATAAATCACTAAATACAAATGTCCTAGATTATTTATAAATATATTCCCAAGTGTGGCTTGAATTTTATTTTTAGCTGCAATGCATTTGTTTTATTTTAAATTATTTTAGCCTCCTTTACATACTTGAAAAATTTAATTTTCATTTATATTGCTCAGTTAAATAATTACTTATTCTTTACTTTTATTCTAGAAGGTTAATTTATTTTTAAAAATAACTTTTGTGTTAGATTATCTATAAAAAAATATTGTTTTCTCCCATATTTATATTTTTTTCCATAAATCTATTTTTTGATATGAAACTTTTTTTTTAATTAGAAAAGTATCACTTTACAATTTTTTAGCTTTAAGATAATTTTAATAATTAAAAGCATTTAATTTTATGCAAATATATTAATAATTTGACAGATAAAAAGTATTTATTGTCTAAAACACTGAGGTTTTTTATAAAATTTCTCAATGACTAAATATTTGGATACGCTGTCCTTTATTGGACAATTGGCTGTATTAGTAGCACTACACTCAAAATGGTTGTGCGTCTATAACCAACACCTCCTAGAAAAGAGCAGGCCTCAGCACGGGTTACCATAAATATCCTTTAGTAGTCCAAACGTAATGACATATTTCGTATTTTCAACCACTGCGCAGCTTAGTACCCCAAACGTAATGACATGTTTCTCATTTTTCGTCTACTGCGCAGTTAACTTCGTCACATCGGACTACTAAATTGATCCGTGCTCAGGCCTTCCTACTTCTAGGAGGTGTTGCTATAACTTAGGCCAGGGGTGGCGAACCTTTATACACGAGCGTGCCATTTTTTCCAAAAAATTGTTTAATGAGGTCATAGACGTGCCGTCAAATAATTTTGCCTTCGTGATTATTGGGAAAATAATAATACTAAATACTATCAACTCAAAACTCTTTAATTACATTGAAAAAAAATATTTTGCAATGTCTCAGTTATATGCGTAATTCAACTTAAAGTAACATCAGTGTGACTTCTGTTGTTGCAGATTAGATGACAAATAACTTATATTAGGTTGTAAGATGTTAGTTTAAGCAGGACTGTTTATTTTTTTTTTGTTAGTTATTTATTGCTAGCTTGTTTTTTATGGTTATTAATTTCTTTTTTAGTATTAATTGTTAATTTTTTTCATTAATAATTGTTTATTATTTTGCGTGTTTTTGGGAATTTTAATTTAATTGTTACATATGCTTCATAGAGTAATAACAATTCATAGTGTAATAACAAATGTGATCGGTGGCGTGCCCAAAATATTGTGACGGGTGCCATAAATGGCACGCGTGCCATTGGTTCGCCATCCCTGACCTAGGCATTCTATACAATGCTTAGACATTTTGTATAGTTTCTTAAAACTAGTATTATAATCAGGAAAATATGAAGTATTAAAATCAGGGGGGAGGGAAAACAGAGCTTTATTTGCTGTATATGCACGCATTTAAAAAAAGTAATATTTCTATATTGACCACCTAAGAAATAAACAGAAATTTGGTACTCACGTATTATCACGTGGACCATTTGCGCCAAATCTGAGAATAAATTTGAAAATTGCTAAAATTTAAGTCTCTCATTTTTCTTATATGTTATGTTTGTATTTTATTACAATACTAGGGGGCAAAGCCCCCTGTTCGCTACCGCTCACCAACCCCAATGATTGCTTCGCAATAATTGTTTTTCTTGGCAGAAAACAGTTTTTCTACTAAAGTTAAAAATATTCACTTAATATCTATGTACTAAAAGGAATTCTGTTTACTTACGCNAAGACGTTTTTATTGCTCTTTTAGTTAGAAAAGTGAAGAGTAACAACTATTTTATATTTGTAAACACTTCGATTAGATTTTGAAAAGAATCCGACAATGTAAGAAAGAAAAAAATATGTATGTTATGGGCTTCAGAGGGCCTCAGCTCTGAATAAAACTTAAAAAAAAGACGAAAAAAGTGGGGTTTGGGAGTCCTCTTAAGTTATAAATAATAAATGAGTTAGAATTAAAAAAGAAAAAACTAATGCAATGAGATTTTAGACTTTTGGGGGCCCCATTAGAAATCGGGGCCCTGGGCCAGGGCCCACTTGGCCCATCCTTAAAAACGGCTCTGCTCGGAACCCACGGATGGCAGCACCGCTTATTCGTAAGGCGCTTTTCTTAACTTAGATTTGAAGGGGAAGAAAAATTTTCTTAGATCCTTGTACCCATCGCACTGCTAAGCGATCCAGACCATAGGACTACCGATTCCACAAATTTTAAGAACAAGTTTATTGCACGCAATCGGCTGGTCTTAGAGGAGTTAGGATCGAATCATGGCCCCTACGAACGGAGTCCGATTCTTTTACCATAGGTCTACAACAACACCAGCAAGAAGTGCACTTTTTGGTTAAAAAAAGTAATACTCGTAAAAAAAAAAAAAAAAATTGAAAAAGTCATATATTTTTTTTGAAATTCAAGTGAACTGAACTGATTTTGAAACAAAATGTACCAATTATTGTAATGATCAAATGCAAAAATCATTTAAAAATAATAAGTTAAAATTCAAAAATATGGAGGAATTTTGCATTGCAAAAATGTCAGGGGAGAGGAAAGCTACTGCTGGCTGGGTGCTGTGAGGCAAATAGCAGCTCTCCAGAATGTTATCTTCCATATCGTGCAATAGAAAGGCATCATTTTTACAGTATACAATAATTGTCCTTATATCTGATAGTTTTATTGAGAAAATAGAATGGAGGACATTTTTTTTTCTTCGTATTGTGATCAAATTTGCTCTTCCCACTCTGAACATAAACGTCAATTAGTAAAGGACTAATAAATCTTCTCACGAAACCGATAATCCGTTAAATTTCTGTAGCCTGTATGTCTATAACTCAAAATAATTTTCACTTCCAGTTTTAAAGCATGACTTAAGCGCTGAATATTTTTTCTGTAACTCTAAATCTATTTTTCTTTTTAAATAACTCAAAGATCAAATCTTATCTCTGAATAAATTAAAATAAATAAATACCAATTCAAATATTTTTATAAAACCTTAATGAAGCTCATGCAGTCTTAAACAAAAATGAATGAATTTAAGGGGTTAAGGGTATTTTTTCATTGTTTCAAAATCTTTTTATAAATAAAGTTTGAAATAGTTGAAGTTGGAAAAAAGTTTCTTCCACAAAAAAATGTCTTATGATTTGAAAAGAAAGTCGGATTTGTGTGTAAAGATACTGAAATCTATATTCCCGTGGAGTCTCGCAGTGTACCGATCGCTATGGCACTGCTCCCAGCAGATCACCGAAGTTACCACTTGGATTAGTCTGTGTAGGGACCGAGGGTTTGAGGTATTGATCCTCGTTAAGCAATTCTACCGTAACGTGCTTGACTTCGCGTGCCGGTCATCTGACTACTAAAGCAGGGGAGCCATCTCCTCTGCAGAAGATCAGAATTGTGATGGTATGTTTCGGATCATCCTCAGGGATGTTTCCCAGACCATCACCAATAGCCCATTGGGCAGCTCTGGAACTACAAATGAACTACAACAAACAACAATATTCCGAGGAAAATTTTGAAAATGCTCGTTTGAGTTAACTCGCGTTGAACAAAACTTAACTGACTGACTGGACGGTTGTATTCACACTGGATGCGATTGCCCAGACGCGTGTGCGAATGTGCATATGCGAATCGCATGCTTTTAAAAATTCACCAATCGATCTTACTCGATTGGTGGAGAAGAAAACCACTGGTGCAAGTGAAAATTTATTGCTAACTTTATCTAGGTAGAAGTGAATCTTAAAATGAATCAGAGTATGCAAATTTCGGCTACCGCTGACACTGTTATAACTAATATTTCCCAAGTTAACCGCGACCGCCAATATTTCCAGATTGTTGGTTTCTGAATGAAAACCGTCTTGTAGTTGTCTGCAAAGAAACCAGTCTTGTCACTTGAAGAGTCGAGTTAGCAGTTTTTTTACAAACAATAATTTTTAAATTAAGACTTTTTAAGCCATCACGAAAGGTTTTAGGTGCTAATTATAAATTTAATTAGTTCTTTACAAGCTGTGTGTGAAGTTGTTTTGACAGTCTTTCAAATTTCCTGTGTTTTTAATGTTTACAAAATATCCCCTCGCATGAAGAACTTTCGGAAAGGTATATTTTTTTCAAGAATGGACAAGATCACAACCAAAAGGATCAACTGCAAATCATTCAATTATAATGTTAAATATTTAATATAATTTCATTTTGATTTAACATTATATGAGCTATAAATGGGGACTAACGGTGTCGCTCGACTTTGTGTATGTTTTCTATCGTTCATAACATGGGTAAGTTATTAAATTTTCCAAATTTTAACAGCTTTTTTATTTCTTTAGAAATATTGTTCAAAAGTTATTTTGTGAATTTCTGTCAAAACGCACCTATGTCTTTTGACTATGTACTCAATTTATTACTGTGAGTCCTTAAAGTTAATTTGTACTCATAGATACATATACTACCTGTTGAATTGAAACACATTTGCATTCCATTACTTCAATGGAAAACTTTAAAAATACATATATGCTATATCATTAAAGAAAAAAGCGAGAGCTTTTAGAAATGTTGCTATTAGTAAATATTAATCAATATTTAAGTGTAAGTAGATATTACTAATCAATTTTTAATGTAATCAAATATTAATAATCAATTATTAGTATGTGTGTGTAAATATATATATATATATAATTTAATAAGTGATTCATTCAATTATTACATATTATCAAACTTGCTTTCTTTTAAAGCAACAAAGATTTTTCAGATTTCTTTTATTTTCCATATTCCTTGACAATTGCAAACATTTCCATTTCCACTTTCCCTAAAAAGTTTTTAAACTTCTTTCTCCAAAGGATTAAAAAAAAATTTTTTTTATGACATTCAGAAAAATATTCATGATTAGCGAGATGTTTCTAGGATGATAAAAAGGGATAATCCATTTTTTTTAATAAAAAAGGGAAATAAAATGAGTCATTTACAAAAGATTAATCACAATACCTTTAATAATTAAAAGTATTGTGATTAATCTTTCGAAAATGGCTAATTTTATTTAGCATAGTGCTATTTTTCTACCTAATTATATAAATTCAAATTCACATAGATTTAATTCTTTTGACATTTTTTTAAACAATCATATTTAAATGAAGTCAAGTTCAAAGGTTTATTTTTTATAAAAAAAAAGAAAATATTATTTGCATTGAGAAGGTTAGAAAAGACTATTACTCTTTTTTAAAGAAATAAAAAGTGTGCAAAACTTTAAATGTATTTTTCGTAGATATATAATTTGTACTTTGTTTTATAATTTCTAAGAAAATTTATATTCTTATTATATTGGGGAATTGTTTAGTAGTTATTATGAAAACTAATTAATATTTAATTTTGTGCCTCAAAAGTTGAATTTTTTTTTTCACATAGCTGTTTTTGAAAAAAATTGTGTTCCCTTTAGAAATGAGCTCGACTTCATTTTTAGTGATCCAAGTGCGAAGACTTTAAACCTTAGTCCACCCTGTCCAAAGATCCAAGAATGCTCTATATCAGGGGTTTATAACTTACATGAGGCAGGGGGTCGTGGTCGTAGTTAAAAACACCAGTCAAATGGCGGGCCGCGACTTTATCAAAATTTTATATAGGACGCTTTAATGTTTGAAGGAACATTAAATATTACTGTCAGATTTTTATCAAGTTGCACAAAACTAAAGTATTGAATTGCAAAAAATAATAAATATTATCTTGGATGCAAAACCTGAGAAATAATTTTTTTGTAACGTTGGTATGTTATATTTCACAGAAACGAAGAAATTAGTTTGTTTTTTTTAACGATGGAAAGTATTTTAAATCCATATAGATTTTTTACGAAAATTGTCCACAGAAAATGACAACTAATATATTTTAGTTCGCGGGCCACAAAAAAATCTTCGCTGGCCGTCTGTTGGTAACTACTGCTCTATATGCTCAAGTTTGAGTTTTAATATGCTAGAAAAAAATCCAAATTTTGCATAGATAAGAGTAAAATAAGATATATTATTGAGATTACTTACTTACAGATCAAGAAACTTAGGAGAACATTGTTAGAAATTTAGGAGCACATTATTAGAAACTTATATGGACATTCTTAGAAAGTTAGTATATTGTTGAGCCATAATATTGTGACCAGGACAAGGCCTGAGGCTAAGGCAACCAAATCAATTTCCTTTGCATTCTAGGAGTTCTTTTCTTTCAAGTCAAGCATCACTGGCTACGGTCAGTGTGCTGGTGGGTGACCACTTAGATCAGTCTGCATAGGGACCGAGGGTGTGCAATATTGGTCCTTGTTAAGCTGTTCTACCGTAAAGTGCTCGACTTCGCCCGCAGGTCGTTGGGCTACCGAAGCGGGAGTGTCATCCCCTCCTCAGAGGATCAAAAATGTGATGGCATGTCTTAGGATCATCCTTTTCCCAGACCATCACCAATGCCCATTGCGCAATTCTAGTGTGACGTAAATGAACTACAACAACTTTCACTTATTATTTTTTTTAAATTATTTTTTTGTAATTATTTTAGAAAAGTACTAATTTATTAATTTTTTTTTCTGGTCAAATATATTTAATATAATTTATGAGTAAAACATAGCTGTAAAATTTCAGAACCTTGTATCACTGATGGTCCCTCTTTTCCGTGATGTTCTGAAAAATTAAATGAAAAACAGAAAAAGAGAAAACTAAAAATTAACTAGCTGTTTTAAGTGATATTTTTTTTAGTATTCAGAAAAAAAAGTAGTAAATTTTTATGTAGCCCTTTTCAGTCATTTGGATGTTATTTTACAAATGTTATTATTAAATAAGCTTGCATTAGGCAGCTTAAAGCTAAGAAAAAAATTGTTTGGATTTGAAGTACATGTGAATAGGACATTCATCCAAGGTTGAACATTTTTGTAACACTAGAAATCTCGAGCTGTGACGAGTTGAGCTTTTCTGTAACGCTAGAAAAATGACAAATCAGTAAGTAACAAATTTATAAATAAATAAATGCATTTATTTATTTTTTTTATTTATAAATTTTTTTTTCTGTTTCCACAGTTTTTCCAGTTTTTTTTATCTTTAAAAATATGTAATTTTTTTTCATTTATAATTTTTTTTTCCGTTTCACTGTGTTTCCGCAGTTTTTCCAGTTTTTTTTTAAATCTTTATTTTCCGTTTTACATTGACAAGTTTTATGTTTTACATCCCTTTTGTATTTCTCATGCATGCCTGGCAGGTTTTGAGAATGAGTGCCTATTTTTGAGCTCTTATAAAATATCTAATTTTATTTCCATCTTCATATATTTTTAATCAAGTATATTTTTCAGTTTCTTGTGATTATTTTTCTAAATCATTTCATGGCTCGTTTTTGTGTAAGCTGTTCTGCAAATGAATAAATTGGCATCGACTTTATAGCTGCATAATTACTGCACTTAAAAAAAAAAATTTTTTTTTGCTGGTGAAATGTGTGAACTAGATTTTTAGTTGTTTTTAATAAAGTCTGATCAGTAGTAACAGTGATCGAGAGCCAAACAGAAATAAAATTTAGTTATCTTTCAAGAACTGTTAAAAAGTTACTAGAGAAGCAAAGTTATACTATATCTTTTTATTTTTCCTATTTTTTTTCGGAGATTAATTTTGTTTATACATTCAAACTAAATTTTTCCCTGTACGTTTAAAAATTTTCTTGGAAACCGAAATATGTTATTTTACTGATGTAACTGCGTTGAGGGTTGAAAATTTTAAAATAATGTTAGAAAAAGTTTTTAAACAATTAATTATAGAAAATAATTGCATTATTCGACGGTTGAGTAGCGTGGTGCAGAGATCAGGTGGTTACTTCCACCACCCTGGGAACTGTAGTTAGGTAATGGATAATTTCACTAAGGATCCATCCCAGAACGTTTCTCGTTCCTCATTCATCTAATGTGACTTCAATAATCAAATCATTCAGGAAATTATTTGCTATGTATTTCAAAATATTTCTTAGATTTTGATTTAAATTAGAAGTGCTATTAACTCAGAATGTATCACCAACAAGCAACCAAGAAGAAATTTCCACTCACCATTTGCACTTGGTTCATCACAGTGTGAAGTAATTTGAATACTGCGTTTTTGTCTTCAATGTATTGTGGGCTGAGCCAAGGCTATCATTTTGTTTTAACCTTTGCAAAAACATAATTTTGCATGTCAAATAATCAATATTAATTTGGAAACGTTTTAAAAGAAATATACAATCAAATTTGATTCATAGAGGGAGATGATATATTTAATTATAGTGAAAATCTAAGAAAAAGTATAAATCTGTTGTGATATGTATATGGTTTTCACGAAATAGTGAAATAATCATGCGCTCTCCAATCCATTTGACAATTCTTTTATATGTCATAAGTAGAGCCCGGATTTTGATGACCTAAAAAATCTCAACTAATACCCTTAAAAAGTGCAAAAAATGCCCTTAAAAATGCAAAAATTGCGCAAAAAATGCCTTAAATAAAGTAAAAATATTGAATTAAAAAAATGTTTTGCTCTTTAAAATTATTATGAGTCATTTAAAAAATATAAAGCAATGCAATACTTGTTCTACGTTCATTAAAGTTTGAAAAATATGTTTTATATCCTAAAATAACAAAAAAAGGAAAATATATTGACACCAAAATATTTTTATTTTGTATAGAAACTTTAATGGATATAACAACTTCCATCTCATAATATTACTAAATATCAGAATTACATTGGATTATTAAATGTTTTTTGATAATTTGAAATGTAAACGAGCGTCTCTTGTCTGAAAGTAAATTTTCATTCCTGCAGAAGCTTCTTTCAACGTCTACTGATGTTATAGGTGCGTACTTGAAAAAGACGGTCTCACTTACTGACAATTCTTCTTCAATTTGAAAAGATTTTGCTTCACCTGTTAATATTCTATAGATTTTCTTCATTGTTTGGAAGCCAGTGTAATAATGAAAATTGATAAAAAATAATAAAAATTGGAAAAAATTAACAAAAAACTTTAAAAAATGCATTAAAATGCAAAATACGCCCCAAAATTTAAAGAAAAATGCCCTATAAATCTAAAAAAATGCTCTAAAAGACAAAAAATGTCCAAAAATGCAAAAAATGCAAAAAAATGCAAATGTCATCAAAATCCGGGCCTTAAGTCATAAGTAACACGAGTTGGATGTCTATTGTAAGTACTCACGATCAAAATTTATGCCATCCATAAATATTCAGTAATAAATTTATATTTCTATATTTGTCATTTCCTGAAGGGACTTGTGACTCATTTTTAAAACAGC